TCGGCTCTCTGCCAGTGCTGCAATGAACAATTGAATATGCAGAGACAAGCTTTACACAGTGCACACCCACAACTCCTGGGTCCAGCTTGGTGAGCTGGGGAGTTCCCTGTGGTCACTTACTGGGGTTTAGGGGAAACCAAGGCAGCCAAATCCCATGTTGTTGTCTCCAGCTGCCAGTCTCTTCCCCCAGCAGTTAGCACTGTGTGCGGCCTCTGGAAGCCTCATGCCATGCAGGCTTTGAGCATCTTGTACCCCTTACACTTCGGGAACACTCTGAGTCTCCTTTAGCCCAGTCTGGACTCAGAGTCGCTCTGTTGTTCCGGATGGCTTTGATAGCCCAGTGCTAGGATTCCAGGTATGTAGCCAGCTCTGCTTCCTTGGTTTTTCAGGCTGGTGTACAGACTCATAGATTTTAGCATCCATTGTCAGAATGATGTCATACTTTTTTCTCAAATGGGTTTCTCTCACTCCCCACAACCAGTTCCCTTCCCTCAGTTAAACCCAACTTTTGATTTCTCTTATCTTCATTTGTTTCTTTGTTTGTTTGTAGAGACAGGGTTTCTCTCTGTAACCCTGGCTGTCCTGGAACTTGCTCTGTAGACCAGGTTGGCTCAAAGATCTACCTGCCTCTGCTTCCTGAGTGCTGGGAAAAAGGTGTACACCACAACTGCCCAGCTGCTTTTCCTTTTCTTTATTTACATATTCATTTTTATTATTTTAAGATTATGTATAGATGTTCATGTCTACACATGAATGCAGGTGTGTGTGGAGGTCATGTGCATCTGATCCCCTGGAGCTGGACTCAGACAGTGTGAGCCACCAGATGTGGGTGCCAGGGACTGAACTCAAGTCCTCCTGAAGAACAGCAAGTACTCTTAGCCACTGAACCATCGCTCTGGCCTTTTCTTTCTTGTTGTAAAGAATTGCATTTTTTTATTTTAAGAGTGTGTGTGTGTGTGTGTGTGTGTGTGTGTTGCATTATGTGCCTGTGAGTGCAGCTGGTTGTGGAGGCCAGGGGCATGTGTTTCCTGGTGCTAGAGCCACAAACTGTTGTGAGCTGCCCATCGTGGATACTGGGAATGTAATGAGGTTCTTTACTAGAGCAGCAAGTGCTCTTAATTTCTGAGCCATCTCTCCAGCCTCTGAAGCTTGGCGTTACTTGGATTTGGGCTTAGAGTTTCCTATCTGGTGGTTCCTCTCCCTTCACTTTTTATATTGGTCTAAGCAATAGTTCTCCATCTGTGGGTTTCAACCCCTTGTGGTATCAGCCCTTTCACAGGAGTCACATATTTACATTGTACTTCCTAATTACAGCACCAAAATCACAGTTTTGAAGTAGCAACAAAATAACTTTATGGTTGGAGTCACCACAACATGAGAAACTGAATTGAAGGGTCGCAGCATTAGGAAGGTTGAGAAGCACTGGAAAGCTATGTGTCCCATCTATAGCAGGGATTGGGCCTCTGTCTCTCAAACTGTTGATTGGTTGGAGTAAGAATGGGCACCCCAGCCCCATCTACCTGTGGTATGACAAGTGGTACAGCAGACCTGTCACACACAAGGGCAGATGGGCTGGGTTCAGAGAATGGAAGCTCTTCTGGGGCAGACTCATAAGGCAGTGGATGCTCACTGCCTGTTACTGGGCATAGACAGCCAACAAAAGCATATTAGGTCCCTCTATCACCCACTGTAGGGACCCATGAAGGCCCCTCAAGGACCTCAGAAGAGAAAAGGCTGGCTGGCAGCCCTATATCAGCCAGGCAGTGCTGTATCAGCCGGCCAGTGGTGTCCTCTTGGGAAAAGACAGCAAAGGACTGTTGTGATCAAGTACAAATTCTGTCCACAGCAAGCTTCACCCCATTCCTGGACAAGGAGGACATGAGATGGGAACAGGCCCAGCAGCTCCAGTAGCCTTTCTTTGTGTTTCAGTTCTTTTGAGTGCTGTTGAAACAGCCTTGCTATATGTGCC